TATAAAATGGATGTCTTGGGGCTGACAGAGACGCACAGACCCGGCACTGGTGAGGTTACCTTGGATGATGGGTCCCTCTTTATTAACTCAGGAAGAAGTGATGGGTACAGACGACAAGGGGTTGGTTTAGTCCTCTCGAAGAAGACTAAAAATTCATTGATTTCATACAGTCCGATATCAGAACGTATTCTTGCAGCGAGGCTGCACAGTCGACATATAATCAACATTTCGATTGTGATAGCTTAATTGCTCCAACTGAGGATGCAGCAGTCGGAGTAAAGGATGACTTTTATCAGCAGCTATCTGGGGCATTTGATGAACTACCAGCTCATGACGTGAAGTTTTTACTTGGAGATCTAAATGCTCGCATTGGCCAAGATAACTCAGCTTGGTCCGGTGTGATTGGTAAGCATTCCCTTCACATTTCATCAAATGACAACGGCCTTCGACTATTAGATTTCTGTGCATTGCATCAACTGACAATCGGTGGGACGCTTTTCCAGCATCGTGATATTCATAAAGGAAGTTGGAAGTCTCCAGACGGCCGCACAGTAAATCAGATTGACCATGTCTGTATTTCTACCAAGTGGAGTCACTCTCTACTTGACGTAAGATCATGCAGGGGTGCAGACATTGGCTCCGATCATTATTTGGTTCGGGGTCAATTTAGAGTCAAACTTATGGCAGTTCAAAAAATGAACACCTCTCGTAGGAAATCTCCAGCAATTGAGAATCTTAGAGATCAGTCCAAGGTTGAAGAGTACTGCATTGCTCTTCTAAATCGTTTTAGCTGCCTACCAATGGAGGAGAATCTTGATGGAGAATGGACAATAGTTAAGGATACTATTAAAGAAGTGTCTATGGAGGTACTGGGTGAGCGCCCCCGGCGCAGAAAGCAGCAGCATTTGTCTCAGGAGACAAAAAGCCTTATTGCAGAACGCAGTAAGATTAAACAGATGGCGCCTAGTGACAAAAACAATAGGAGCGAGTATTCTCAGGCCAACAAACTTGTCAAAAAGAGCTGCAGGAAAGACGACGAGAATTGGGCTCTTAGAGTTGCAGCAGATCTGGAAACAGCTGCTGTCCATGGCCGGCAAAGGGAAGTCTGGCAACGGATAAAAACACTGTCCGGTAAGAAGAATCGAAAATCAACTGCTGTAAGAGACAAATCCGGGAAGTTGATTGCTGATCCCTCTGCTCAGAGAGAGAGAGATGGGGAGAACATTTTTCGGAGCTATTAAACCCTCCTCCCACGAATGCGGATCTGTCTGACCTGGACCATCTTGAAGTGGTTCCATGCTTTCCGTATCTTGGTGATGGTGATGGTCCACCCACTGGACTTGAGATTTTAAACTGTCTCAAAAAATTGAAGAACCACAAAAGTGCTGGGATTGACGAAATCTCTAATGAGCAGTTAAAGTATGGGGCAAGCGGTCTTGTGGATACGATGGAGAAATTGTTCTCTAAAGTTTGGAATTCAGAAGCAGTGCCTGACGACTGGTTGAAAGGCATCGTGATAATTGTACCAAAGAAGGGTGATACCTCTCATTGCTCCAATAATAGGGGGATCACTTTAAGATCTACAGCATCGAAACTGTATCAAATCATCATTTTACAACGCATGAGTGACGGTTTAGAAAGTTTGCTACGAGACAATCAGTGTGGGTTCAGAAAGAACAGATCATGCATTGATCAGATTTATTCACTCCGCACTATTATACATAACTGCATTGAATATAATCTCCCCCTGTATGTAAATTTTGTGGACTTCAAGGCAGCTTTTGATTCTATCGACAGGAATTATATTTGGAAAGCTTTCAGTCATTATGGCCTGCCATGTAAATACATTCGAATAATACAGGCATTCTTTAATGGAACTGTCAGTGCTGTTAGACACAATGGTGAACTATCAGAATGGTTTGAAGTAAGTTCAGGCAGTAGCCAAGGAGACATTCAGGGTCCCCCACTTTTTAATGTCTGCCTCAATGTGGCTGCTGAGAGAACAGAAAGCAACAAAGTGGTGTCCCACGGAGCGGTTCTTCAAAGATCTATCAGTCCGCTTGTTGATGATATCACTGTGTTAGATACAGACTATGCAGATGACATGGCTGTACTGGATAACAGCGAGGAAGGTCTTCAAGAAACAACTGACCTTTTGTGTATGTATGGTGCCCAGGGAGGTCTCAGAATCAATGGTAAAAAGACTGAGGCTATGGTCATTGGTAAAGCAGCCTCTCAACGGCCATACACGAAGGAAGCCACAGTGAACATCACTGTTGAAGACACGCCAGTGCAGCAAGTTAGTGACTTTACGTACTTAGGTACAATTATTTCCAGCGACGGTACTATCGACCGTGAGCTGTCAGCTAGGATTCAGAAAGCTTCCGGAGCCTTCAATCAACTGAGTAATATATGGAAAAACCGCAACATCCAGTCTTATACAAAGATCAGGATTTATAATGCAGCAGTTTTGACAATATTGTTATATGGTAGTGAGGTTTGGAACACAACCAAAAAGCAGCTACATCGCTTTGGGGTGTTCCATCAGCGTTGCTTGAGGAGAATACTTAGGATAAGATGGCTCGATCGGGTTAGAAACACTGAAGTGCTGGAGCGTGCAAAGATAAATTCAGTAGAGACGTTCATAGGAGCAAACCGCCTGCGTTGGTTTGGCCATGTCACCAGAATGCCAGACACTAGGCTTCCTAAGTACCTGCTTAACTGGACCCCTGCGCATGGGAGAAGATCTAGGGGCCGTCCAAGAAAGAACTGGATGAAATGTTTGCTGGAAGATGCTGCAGCGTTTACAGGAAACACTGACATAGACATAGTAGGAGCGAGCGAGATGGCTAGTGACCGAAAACTTTGGAGGGAGATGATACGTCACAAACGGGAGTTCATTGGTGCAGGCCACTCGAATGATTGAGGAGACCTAATCAAGTACAAGTAAGTATCCGGATCCTTCCTAACAACGGAGTGTTTTTAACCGTTAACGTTTAACATAGTTACCTGGCACGCTTGTAGCGCGGTGCACCACTGGGCCGCGCAGCGCATCCAGTATTGCTTCTCGCAAACACTTCTGACTTCGTTAGATTTACCTGAGTGCTGAGGACCCCAGGCTATTATGTTCATTAACATATAAATATGTATATATATATAATGAATAAAGATTTGGCGGAATGACAGGCTGAGCGCGGCCCAGTAACGTTAGATCGGCAAAATGCACCAATGGGCCTCGCGGAGTTACCTGAGGACCCCAGGCTATTATGTTCATTAACCGAATAAAGATTTGGCGGAATGACAGGCTGAGCGCGGCCCAGTAACTCGCGGAGCTGCGAAGGATTGACGTCGTCAATTAACTGGCACGCTAGCCCCAATGAACGGCGCCCTTTTCGAGCTAGGTAAATCGTAGCGATTCATTACTGGGCCGCTACGAGCTGTGAAGAATATTGGCATCGTCAATCAATAAAAATCAAACAACTCCCAACTAATATTTCATTAAATATTGTCCATTGTCTGTTGACCCATTATATGATCACATCGTCACTTTAATTTTCAACTATCGTGGATTGAAGTGCGCGCGCCGTCGATGGTCGACGTGATTCGTGCGTACGTGGACAACTGGTTGGCTTAATATTATGCTTTTGCACCACTGCAGGCGCTTTTTAAAATAATACAAAATAGAATTGAAAAAGCAGTAATATATACAATATACATGATATAAGCACGAACGTATCCATGAAAGCTCGCGATGTACAGTTCTGAGTTCGTGAGCGCGTAATATGGCATGGAATAGTTTGGACTCTGGAAATTTATAAATTACAGCAGTTCTAGTTGAAAACGTTCATCGTATAAAATAATAATTTAATAAATTATCTATTTTGTATTTACATTATCAAATATGGCGCTGTTTATATTTCCCGCAAAACACAAAAGTTGGAAGCACAGTACAAATTCAAAATTGCAGTAACTTCTTTCAAACTTCATGAATCGAGATAAAATCGTTTGTAACGTATTTAGAATCAATATATGTGATATGCATTTATATAAATCACTTGGAATAATGTTGAAAGAGACCAACACTCAACAGGCAACAAGCTCAAAAATTTTATTGTCTTGATTCACAATGAGGCCCATGATTGTCATACGTTGTATGACCCGCCGCGCACGAAGTGCGCGGCTCCCCCTGTAGCGTCGAAGACGCTACTATAGTGAAGCAACCGTGTGGGTCACCACGTGATACAAGCCCATGAGTGGTGCATCCCGCCGATATACCTGTGGTTGCGAGAAGAATTATTTGATGCGCGGCGCAGTAGTGCACGTACCGCGCTACAAGCTATTGTCGTATTCTTCCGTAAAAAGCACAATAGCGTGAGCAGCTTTTTAATTCTGTCGAGTAGAGGCGCTTCGAAATCGACGAATGTGGCCTGGGATGTAACTCTTCTTAATTGACGATGTCAATTCATCGCGATCGCAGCTCGGCGAGGCACACTGCACAGTAGCGCATTTCGCCGATCGCTGTGAGAAGCCTCATTTGTCATTGAGTGCGCGGCGCGGCACAGTAACGCATCGCGCTACAATTACTCTTCTAAATTTCTTTGAAGTAGCGCGCACCACTTCCTTCTTGAGGCAAGTGTGAAGTGCTAAGACATACGAAGTACTAGCGTGCGCCGGATCAGTCCTTTAACAATAAACAACTTCGAAAGTGATCCTTTTTGGTCGCTACATGTCAACGTAGGTGTTAGTGCAGAATAAAGCAAGTTCTGCATTCTTGAACTATTTTATACGTATCAAATTGGACGTGCTTTCAGTGGAGATATTGCGCGCGCCTTACACGTTGCAATTTACAAACTTACAAATAAGTCATGATGTGGGTTTGTTAAAAAATGAAAAATATTTTCAATTTTATGTTCGCATGATCCCTATTCATGACATTTAACATCATCTGTTACCAGTTACCTGTAGTTTAATTTCATAGACTTTTTAAAAAAGAAAGTACATTAGGTTTATCTCAATATTGAGACACAATGGCATGTAATAACACAAATCCAATACCAAATACAAAGTATAAATCGTAGTATAAAATTCCTCTAACAAATACAGTAAAATCGCATGCAAACCGGAACCCTCAAGGAGACAATGTAGTATCGGAAAAATGTATGGCTTAAGAAAAGGAAAGCTTCATTTCCCTAATACAATTCAAGAGTTGACTAAACCATAAACCTAGGCAGATATTCAAATTTGTTTTGACTTAAGGAAACTTGGCTGTCACGTGTCAGAATAATATGAATAACCTCCCTGTAATAATTAAGTTTAATAAAACTATTGCTGTTACATCTAGATTGAAGTATAAATATCGAACATGATGTATGATGTAAAACTTGATTTTGACAGTATAATTCAAAAACTAATGAATATGAACAAGCACGAGTCTATGAAATGAACTGGTTATTTGGAGAGGACAACTAAGAATAACTATAATTCTATACTGTTTTACGCCAATACGTGTAATTGTAAGAGTAACTGGGCACTGGCTAAACTGGGCCCAAATCTAAAACCTCGATCAAACATATTAGATTTAAAACCCCAAATTAAACCAACAACTGAAATTTAAACAAAAGCTTAGCAACAAAATTGAACGATTAAATTGTCCGCCAAATCATTCAGACGATTCATGCAAGAAACAAATAATAACACTAAAAAGTAACAACTCGAACATTTTCTCCCTCGACAGATAACAAAACAATCATTTGTACAGACAAAATACTTAATTAATTACAGTTAAAATTAAACTTAATAATTATAATTGGCTGTTCTTTATATATCGTTAGTTCTTGTAGTTCTTATTATCAGATACTCCTGTCAGTTTATATAACCACTTATGACATGTTCTCGTCAGACATCTGAAATTGGGACATTTTAAGGGTAAAATAAAACATTTCAAATTGGTAACGAAATTACAACTGCAAATGAAAAACACAATAAAACACATTATTTGACAGCACCTCTGTTAGCTATGATAACACGCTGTTTTAATATTCACACTGCTGCTCATTTGAATTAAATATAAGTATGGGGGGGGGGGGGGGGGGGGGGGGTAGTATATGTAAAGTAACTAACTAACTAAGTAAATAACAAAGTAAGTAAGTAAGTAAGTAAATAACTAACTGGGATCAGCCGGATAAGATCTGCTCATTTCCCCCTGCAGCCTCTCTTCTCTCTGCTGGTGTATCTGCGAGTGCAGTGACCTCGTCATCATATCTTCAGCGGTCTCTTGTTGCTGCTTTAATCTGTTGTGTAACTGCGCGAGATCACGTGTTAAAGTTCAGCTAGGTAAACTGCCGACATGGTCATTTTAATTAATTCTAATTGCAGCGTTATCAACAATCTATACATTATTAAAGAATATTGCTATGTAGAGATTCTCACCGAATGAAGATAGAGTGCACTTGAATTGAGGTCGTTAGATTTAGCCATCTGTCTGTACTTTCTCCTGACTTCAGTCCACGACACTTTCATCGCGTCCCCACTTGGACCTGTTAAGCAAGTGGTACAATAACTGAAAGTCAACTAGTAAATTAAATCAATTATTAAATATAATAGCAATTAGTAGCAAATCAAACATATGTAACACATGATATCATTCTATCTTATAAAACTACAAATAACCTTGACTAAGACTACTGGATGCAGCCCACTGTGAGTGCTGCATGTGAGGCGAAGCTGACATAAAGAGTGAGGCGTCCAAGGTGCTCATACTCATCATACTTCCAGGGGGGAAATGTTGGGCGTCAGTCAGAGACCGAGTCACCCTCTGATTAGCAAAACCAGGGTTACCAGTGTTACCAGTGTCACCAGGGTTGTCAGGGTTACTGATTCCAGCAACGCTCTGTAATAGCTCTGGGACTGACTCTGTCATAGTGATAGGTTGTCTGGTGTCTCGGTAACTCTGTTCTAGTTGGGTGTACTGATCGTCGAATATGTAGCGTTTCTGAGCAAGGCTGGTCTGCATACCATCTGATGGGTCGATAGTTCCCTCAGGTAGCATATCTTCAGGATGTGTCTCGTGAGAAGCACCAGGGTGCTGCACTGTTTCATCTGTGATGGTGGAGTTAGAGTTCATAGAGGGATGGGAGTCTGGAGGGTGGAAGGAAGGCAGGTTCATTGAGGCTAGCATGGAGGAGGGAGAGTTAAGACTGCCTCGTGTCATACTCTGCGCCATACTGTTCATCATGTTCTGTGTCGCTCCTTCTCCATCCTGTTTTGCTGAAGAGGGAGGGGTTATTATATTGGCCAAATCAAGGGAATCCAGGCCAAACCTCAATGTAACAAAGGTAACGGATTCAGGGGGACATTAAATACATAAAACCAAACACTACCAAATCATAACCTAAAATGTCTGTCACCAAGTGTTAAAAGCCCAACTCACCCAGGGCTCGGAGAGTGCTGATATACATTGCCTCGTTCTCGTGAGGTTTCCAGTCCGGGTTTCTGATACTAAAGTTTATGAGAGACAGCTCTGTTTTACCGTGTTCTGCCTGGTCTAGTTGAGAACCTGTGGTCATGCCAAAGGACATCCAGTCAGGGTTACCGTGCCTCTTAATGTCCATCTGAGAGAAGGAGCACACATCACCCACACCTGGAAATTCTGGACATGTAATGCGTGTATTTTAGGTTCCTAAGTCAATCGTAGTCGTGTAAGAACAATATGAAGTCGTATAAAATATTTGAAATTCATAAGTAATGCTGAAACCTTACCAACTACATTGACAGTGTAGTTTCTGAGAAAGTCTACAAAGTCGAGTGCTCTGAGTCGCACGTTGAAGTAGAGGATGAAGGGGGTCAGGAGTGGTGATATCAACTCCTCCGCAAGATACACGCCTGGTATTGAGAATTAAATAACACGGTAGGATATAGCACATATAGCACAGAGTGCGCTAAAATCAATACAAAATCTAAGGCTATCATAATATTAGCTTTAACACGAAGACATAACCAGCTAATTCTACCCACGACGCGGACTCGAATACAAAAACAATCCAGCACCTAAAGTTCCTAAACACAATCCAGCACCTAGAGTTCCTAAACACAAACCAGCACCTAAAGTTTCTAAACACAATCCAGCAACTAAAGTTCCAAAACACAATCCAGCAACTAAAGTTCCAAAACACAAACCAGCAACTAAAGTTCCAAAACACAATCCAGCAACTAAAGTTCCTAAACACAAACCAGCAACTAAAGTTCCAAAACACAATCCAGCAACTAAAGTTCCAAAACACAATCCAGCAACTAAAGTTCCAAAACACAAACCATCAACTAAAGTTCCTAAACACAATCCAGCAACTAAAGTTCCTAAACACAATCCAGCAACTAAAGTTCCAAAACACAATCCAGCAACTAAAGTTTCTAAACACAATCCAGCAACTAAAGTTTCAAAACACAATCCAGCAACTAAAGTTCCAAAACACAAACCAGCAACTAAAGTTCCAAAACGATAACCAGCACCTACAGTTCCGCACCCCTTACCCTTGAAGACGAACATCTGAGAGAACTGTTGTCTGACGTGAGGGAGGTGAGCCCCGTTATTCCAGGAGTCTGGCTGGTAGTGAGTGTGTTGTAGAACTTCCTTCATTAGCAAGTCCGGACAGTACACTGTGTTCTGGGAGGGAAAGTGGTCTTAAAAGTGCTGAAAAACCTGATACGAGTTTAAACGTTGCCATTGTAGATCAAAAGGTAGCAGTTTTAGTGTTCCGATTAGAGTAGATATAGAAGGAGAATGATACCCCACATTTTTACGAAACTAACAATAAAAAACACAGATATGTTAATACTAACAGCATCAGGTACGAGAGCTCTACACACAGATACAGTGATACCCAGGACAGTGATAGCAAGAGGGATGTTATCGGCGAACAAGAGCTCCTCGTTTATCAGGGTCAGTGTTACCAGGACTAGAAGGATTGCTCCAGCAAAGAACCCCACGTTCCTGGGTGATGTTAGTTGTTGGTGAACTCTAATTCTTAAACTATATGCGAGTACAACATGTATCATAAATAAGTCAGATTTTACCGTCCGTGTCATTGATAAACAGCTTTTCTCCTTATATAAATTAAATAATTCTATTGGATTTAAAAATAGTAATATTGGACTTATAAAGTATTAAAATAACAAGTTTCTTACTTCGCAATGATGACCATCATAGGAGAAGTAAAGAGGTTCAAGTATTTGTTAGCAGGAATGTAGGCTTTCTTAAGTCTCGCATCGAACTCGTGATTGAGCTCGTTGTAATGTCTGAGGAAATGTCGAGAGTAGAGGGACCACATCCGTACTCCCAGGAACCCCGGCTCACGTTTTACTATCTGAAACAAATGTAATTTCACCAAAAGTACTTTGTCATAATATATCATGTTATTTGATTGAGTCATAAAGTCTTATTGAGTCTCATTTGATGATTCTTTCAAGAAAATGTCTGATTTTTTCTGAATAGACTCAGTGATGACAATGTTCTAATGAAGGTAAATAGATAAATCACGTGTCGACATTTTTTTTGAAATAAAATTCGTCGTCAAATTTCTTTTCAAAAAAGATAAGTAACTGAAACTGAAATAGGATGAACATTAAAGAAAAAATAGTCTTGCTCAGTTCGTAGTGATTTGATTGATGTGATTTGATTGATGTCAATGCATTTAGTGGTATAGTCTGGATTCTGGAGCAATGTTGTTGAAACATTTGAAGACGGTCAGAGCAATCTTATACTCTATTCTTTGTCTTATTTGAAATTATGGGCCTTTTTTTAGGAAAGTAGTGGCACTGTTACTGTTAAAATGAGTTAAAACAATGGTAATTAAAATTTTAAAGGTGTTGAAAACATTGGTCGAGCTGTAGTGCGAAAGTTAGCAGTGAACTGAGTGCAATGGAGAAACACAAGAGATGTGTGTGTGTGTGTGTGTGTGTGTGAGTGTGTGTGTGTGTGAGTGTGTGTGTGTGTGTGTGTGTGTGTGTGTGTGTGTGTGCGAGTGCGTGTGTGTGTGTGTGCGTGTGTGTGTGTGTGTGTGTGTGTGTGTGCGTGTGTGTGTGCGTGTGTGTGCGTGTGTGTGTGTGTGTGTGTGTGTGTGTGTGTGTGTGTGTGTGTGTGTGTGTGTGTGTGTGTGTGTGTGTGTGTGTGTGTGTGTGTGTGTGTGTGTGTGTGTGTGTGTGTGTGTGTGTGTGTGTGTGTGTGTGCGTGCGTGCGTGCGTGGGTGGGTGTGTGTGTGTGTGTGTGTGTGTGTGTGTGTGTGTGTGTGTGTGTGTGTGTGTGTGTGTGTGTGTGTGTGTGTGTGTGTGTGAGAGATGTAGATCACTCTAACGACAGGGATCAGGAGAAGACCAATTCTTCATGAATCAATAAGTTAATGTATATTTAAACACTACGAGGGATAATATATTTTTGTTGCTTGATGCTCGAGAGACTGGCCTGTTCGGTTCCGCTGAAAAAAGCTGATCGGGTCTTTAAATAAATTATTTGAATTATCTTACGGAGGGCCGGGGGAGTGTTTAAAATGGTCATAATTTGGCTTGTACGTGATGTACAAACGATCCCTTATCTTATTATACAGCTAATTATAATCTATTCATACATTTTTTGTATATTTTATTCGAAAGCGAATAAAATGAGGAGATTTAAAAAAAGGAACAACAATAGTTGTTAATAGTAGTCAATAAATGTAATAGATTTGCATTTAATTGTTGCAATTAATTTTATCACAAATTTGACAAGTCATAGATATCCATTATTCAGGTATATTTGTAATTTAAAATGTCAATTATGAGATAGCGTTTAAGCAGCTAATCGACCAATAAGTGCTCTTATCTCCGACCTTAATTAAGCACTTTTATTAAATATTTAATTCCCTCCAGCTCAGTGGCTGGATACTGGATTATAATCTCATGTATCCTATTCTTCTATTCTCCTGCTGCCACAAATAATCCTGCCTAATTCGTGAAAGCATCTTGGGAGTTGGGATAGCCTGTATGGCTGCCTTGTGGCGTCCGGACAGTCCTACAATTGTCGTGATAGGCTCGGCTTATCCGCTGTAGTGTTAGCGGTAGCTGCATCTGTTGAATTCTCTCCAGTATCTTAAGCAGTATGTGCAGTCCTATCATCATCGTACAGCCTTTTGTGGATGACTTTAGACATTTTAATGAAAGTGGCGCGGGACGTCGTCCTATATTCAGTGTTCAATTTTCGGTTGGCTTCAGGACTTGCGGGTTGCTCGTAGAAATTCACCATAACCATGTCTCCATATGATATGATTTATTATGTATTTAAAATGATGTAGGTATGGTTTATAAGTTATGATCAGTACACGGCAGTAATTATTAAACATTAGTGAATTACTATTGTTCATGAGAAATAGTATATTTATAAAGGATTAAATCTTAAATTTCTACCTTTTAGTCTGAGGGATTTTTGTTAAATTTTATCGGTTATCGGTACCAAATTATCGAGATTAACCGATGACGATTTTGACCCAATTATCGTCGATAATCTTATCAAGATACTATCTCGTTGCATACACTAAACGGGAATTAATCACCAGCAACACTACATATGTATTGGTAAGTATAATTATCTTCTTTGTAAAGTTAGTGTTGTATTTGTTAGTGGATATTTGTCACTTCACTTATTTTACATTTATATATTTTGTTATTCATTATTGTTACTTCGTTGGCGCTGTAAACACGTGTGGACAGTGGATTGAAGAACGACAGCTGTTATAGGTGTAGAGCATATAATTTCATTTCTTAATTTTAATTCTAATATTTCATGTTTTATTACCGGACGGCTTCAAATAAACTCATACTAATTTCACAAAGCATTGCCTACAAGTTTCAACACTTCAAGTTCACACCTATTAGTAATACCCCCCTTACGAATTCATTCTCAGAAACCTTAAGACTAAGTACCTGCCTTCACCTTTCAACGTCCTAACACTATCTTAACATCAGCCAATCACAATTGAGAAACACGACTCACATGACACTACTTTCACCTCCATAGCCGTCCGTGGCTACGATTGTCAATATGTCTGACTTATCCGATTTGTAAGATACGAATGAACTTGAGTTTAGTTCCCATATTGTAAAAAACCTTTGCTGACTTTACCTTTTAAGAAGTCAAACTAATATAACGCGTTTCACTTTGAATCAGACGTCTAAATAAATACCTGACTAGTCCTCAAGATCCCGGTATAATACCAACCTCTACATAGGACCCTAAGTGGCCAAACTTTAACTTACTATTTTCTAACAAAAGGGTACATTGATTGATAATGTAGAATCACACCCGCACCGAGTTACGCTTGTCTTTCTTACTTACTTTTTTATTCTGTTTTTTATGAATAGAAGGGTCGGCACCAATGTTATCATGGTTTGAAGTGTATTGGTTTTACTGAATTTTATTAATGTTTTACATGCATTTTTCTCACTCCAGCTGCAGTCTGGTAGTGTTGAGTTTCATTCATATTTTCATAGTCCTCATAAATCATGTTGTTGCCTCATTGTAGATATTTTGGTCTTTTGTAAATGTAATCGTAATACATTGATGTAAAATTCATTTGAATTTTGACATTTAAAAAATACTGTACTTGCTAATTTGACGCGGTTAAAATGCACCAAATGTAAAAATGTAGGTGCTGTTGTCTTGCGCCGTACAAATTATAAAACTCCAGACAAAACTCGTTGGGTCAGGAGTTCTATAACCTACCATAATTTATTATTCAATGATATTTATGATAATTTACAATCGAATTTGAATCATAACTTAAATATCCTCTACTTTATTAATAATATGATACCATAACTTATAATTCACAATGTAGGTCATCTCTAATGAGCATTTAATTTCAGTTGGCATTGTTACGTAATGTAGAGCTGCTCCGTACCAAGATACTTAGGGACTGTTTTTACTTAAGTATAATGGATAATGGAAACTAGTTATCTTACAACAACAATATATATTATCAGTTGCTATTTTACTAAAGTACCATGACATAAACGTTAAGTCGACTTTCCGCAAACAACGTGAGAGAAGCGCCATTAATTCTCCCGGTATTGACAGTGAATTCCAATATTTTATAAATTCCATGATAAAATATTAAAAGTCTAATTATGCAAATTGACAAACTTAACATCACGAGCACGTAACACCTCCAAGAATACATTATGATTATTATTACGCTGCAGATTGATGAAATACCGAAAATGGTGGTCAGGTGGTGGCATTTATACGACAGTAATAAGTTTTTGCGTGACACGAGATAGGCTTGAATAGTGAATAGTGAATAGTGAATAGTGAATAGTGAATAGTGAATAGTGAATAGTGAATAGTGATCCGCGTTTAGTGGTGAATATCTTGTCAGGGTGATGAGTGCTAATTTTTACAATTTTTTTTGTATACCTGCTGTGGGCTTATAATTATTAGTTCGTTTGTATATATTTTTGCTGGAGGGTCGTTATTGTTGATTATATAATGATAACATAATCATGTATTTAATATCGATTCTTTTCAGTTATTTGAATTTAAAGACTTACTATTTTCAACGTCATAATATGTTAATTAAGAGGACCAGGGCTTATAACATTTGACCTCAGTAAATAAATAAAATCTTTTATTAAGTTTAAGTGAGTAAAAATAACCTCATTTTAAATCTTTACAGGGTATGGCAAAAGAACACACCGAACTCTCAAACAATCGTACCGATATGTAGGACTACATTCTACAAATTCCGGAGTTCCAACTGCACACATGTCAAAGCAAGTGATATTCGGTATTAACGTTTTCATAGCGATATTTGGGACGATATCAAACAGCTTATCACTATCTTATTTCGTCGGCTTAATCAGATCTACTTCAAGAGTACACAGAGGAAACACTACAAAACTCTTTGCTGCACTGAATATATTTGATCTCATTGTAAGCGTGTCATCAACATTTGTAGTCGTAGTTTATTTCTTTTTCAAAAACGTCGCATGGTTAACGGACGTAGCTGCTTTTATTTTAGGAACGTCGTTGTACGCAACTACATTTCTGACTTGTTTATTGGCCGTAGTTAGGACAATAAATTTGACATTCCCTCTTTATATCATAAATTGGACGGCAGTCAAAGGTTCGATTTTGGTTTATAACGTCATCATAATAATTTTACAGTTAGTCTATTTTCTGAAATTCATAAAGTCTATAAGTATATCTATTAATATGGAAACTTTATCTGCAGTTTTCTACAATATCGAACTATTTATACTAGTTAGTGCGTTTCTTATAGTAGTTTTATCTAACATTATCAGTTTGGGTCAGCTTTATTTAACACAATCTGAGAAG